TCGGGAAGTTTGGAAGGGAATCTTCCCCGACATCTTCCCTCCCCTCGGGCGCTGGGCTGCCGCCATCAGGGCTCTTAAAGGGGCATAAGATCACTCGGGTGGCTTCTCGCGGTCTCTCCTGCACGTCGCCCTCCCGCCTTGGGCTGCAGGGAAGAGGGAGGGGGCGCCCGTGCCCCTCGGGCCCTCAGGTGTTAGCCCTGCAGGCCAGGTTGCCCAGGGGCAGCGCGGGAGGTGAGAGCCTGTGGGGTGGGGGTCCCCAACAGCACGGGGAGGCAGCCCTGTCTCCCTGCAACTGGAGGGGTCCCCAGGGCTCTGGTGGCCGTTCATTCTGACCCGCCGGCCAACCTCTGTGGCTTTCCCTGCGGCCATCCTGGGTGACACCCCCCATCCTTTCTGCTGGGCGCAGCCACGGAGCTGAGCGGGCATGGCCGGTGCTGGGGACAGGAGGCAGCTGTGCCGGTGGCCTGGAGAGGAGAGGGAGCCTGGGCCCTGGGGGGCAGGTATGGGGATGCCACCCACAGCCTGGCCCGCCCCACGCTCCAGCCAGCTTCTCTGCACCCACCTCCCTCCCTTTGCCTGAGACAAGGCCTCTGTCCCTGTGCGTGGCCGGATTCCGGGAGGGCACTCGTGGGGTTGGAAACCACTCCATCTGTGAGCCGTGGCAAAGCCCAGAAAACTCCCGGAGCTCTGTCCTGCGCCTGGGGCTCCAGAAGCCTCTGACCAGGTGCCCCCAACCACAGCAGGGACCACCTGGCAGGCCTTGCTCCTGGCACTGGCCAGGTGCCCAGCCTTCCGGAGGCCACCGCTAACCTTCACCTCCATCCCCAGGGTACCCGGGACCCCGGAGTCTTCCTCAGTGAGAGGCCACAGGGGCAGTGGGACAGCACCGAGCAGGAGTGGGGGGCCGGCCGGGGTCTGAGCCGGCTTGCCACCCTCTGCCTCTCCAGCACGGTTCCCAAACGGGCAGTCTGCGGGGTCAGGCGGGGCAGAGAGGGGAGTGGCAGGGGCAGTGGGAATGGAGTGGCCCGTCCGCTGCAGACAGTCGTCCCCGGCAGGGTTAAGGGCTAGGGCTGCCAGAGCTGCCCACTCCAGAAGGAAATCCACGTTGGCACACGCAGTGTCCCAAGTCTGAAAACGGGACAGAGGAAGCACATCCCTGGTGGGACCCGACCCTAAGTGTGCAGCCGCTGTGTGCACAAGGATGGGTTAGTGTTAAAAGGAAGGAAACTTTCTAGTGACCCTGGCCTCAGCCCAGGATTTGAGAAGGAAGCCCCCAAATCTGGGGAGCAGGGAGGGAGGAGAGTTCGCATCTCCTTACCCAGCACCACGGCGTGGTGGCCGCCACAGACACAGTAGTCCAGGCAACGTGGCTCGCTTGCCTCTTTAAGACCAGATTTGCCTGTTTGAGCCCATTTGGAATTAAAAAAAAAAACTCTCTAAAAGGAGGCACCTGACCTGCCCCCGCCCCCAGACCCTCCAGGGGAGCTTCCGGGCCCACTCGGTCAGTGTGGAAAGGAGGGACAGACGCAGAACGTGAGCCTGAACTCGGACTTCCTTCTTCACCTTCCAGCCACAGCTGTCGAAAGCCCCGAGGACAGGCCTGCCTCCGCATGCCAGCACCACCGAGAGCTAGCTGGGTTAACTCGGCACTCTGAGCCTCGGTTTCCTCACTCATAGAATGGGCTTCATAATAGCTCTGACTCGGTTGTGCTGCCAGGGAAACCATGCGATCCTGGGGACGCTCACACATGGTAGGCACTCGGCGAGCCGGGCGGCTGCTCCTCTCCTGAGGTCCGGTGGCCCCTGGCCGCCGGCTGCTGCCACACATCACCTGCTTCCGGGCAGCTCAGGAATTTCTCTCTTGCATCTCATGTCACCGCTCAGCTGCTTGCCTTCCCCGCCAAGCCCCTGCCCTGTGCCTGCAGCCCTGTGCTGAGCGTGGAGCGAGTCTGACAAAGCCCTGCCCCGAGCAGCTGTCGGGTGCCCTTGTGTAGTCACCCCAGGATGAGGCTCTCCGGGCTAGTCCCAGAGAAGGTGTTTCCTGTGTGGTGTTCTTGCCAGTGGCCATGCAGTCTTTGTTGAATGCCTCTGGAGACGGGCAGCTCACTACCTAATGTGGCAGTGTTGCTGTGTGAGCTAGAAGTTGAAGCCTCCCAGACATCCTTGAGCCTTAACTGGTAGGACCAAGTGTGGGACAGGTCTGCAGGCAGTGGCTCTGAGTCTGAGGCTTCCGGTTTTACTGGAGAAAACACATACCTTGTTAGATGGTTCTAAAAACTTAGTGAGGTGCTGACTTCAGTCGCCCCAGAAAAGCAGAGCAGGTGATGGATGTGTGATTTCACAAAGCGGAACTCTGTTTCCCCTTTTCGCCCACAGCCCATTTAGCAATGCCAGGGCTGTGCTGGTGACCCCACCCACTTCCTAACAAGCAAGCTGCTGTCCCTAGAGACGACAGATACAGGCTTTGATTTTCTGGGGTTAGATTCCTTAGGTCCTTAATTTGGGGAAACCTGGACAAAATAAAAGAAAAGGAATCACTGGGTGGAAAATGAAACAAAGATGCTATAAAAAGCTGTTTGTTGCATGCAGGAAACTGTAAAGTTAGGTCAAGGTATCCAGAAGCCCAGAGATCCTTGCCAGGACCAGGTACATAATTTTCGGGGCCCAGTACAAGATGAAAATGTGGGGCTCTTGTTAAAAAATGACTAGGAATTTCAACAGGGTGACAACAGAGCGCTAAACCCAGCTTGGGGCCCTTGTGAGTGCAGGGCCTTCCTGAGCACAAAGCGCAACGTGGCAGCGTCATCACACCCACAGAGCCAGCCTGGCCCCTTGCACGTGTCCGGGCCGTGTCCTGGGGTCTGGGGAAGGTCCCAAGGCAGCGTCATTGAAGGAGCACAGCTCCTCTTCTTTTGCACAGAGTTTTTATGTTTGGGGGGGGTTGCCCTCCTGCTGTTCTGTGCTAATTTTAGAATAGTCCAAGTCCTCACAAAAGAAGGAAAACATTTTGTAATCACCTATGAAACCACACTCAGAGACAGCCATGGGGAACGCTTCCCCCAGCTTCGATGAAAACATGTCATTTTAAACTCAGTTAACATCTGAGCACCTTATCAGTTTATCCGTTTATCTTCTGCCTGTTTCACCGTTTTATCCCAACTCTTTCCCTAAGTCAGAAGACACTTTTCTACAGATTGGTCTTGATGACGATTTAGTATTGCACTGGACGGATTTCCTAAACGAATCCCTAATTATCGGGACACTTAGGCTCCTCCCAGTTATTTGCAGTTTTCCCTGTTAATATAAACAACACGGCCAAGAACGTTTGCGTGCACGTTTCTGATTATTTCCTGGGGGAGTGACACCATGCTTTAGTGGTGGGGACTCTAGTCAGGCTGTCAGGGGAGACCTTTTTGGCTCTAGAAGCTCTCGGGGCCGTCTCGGAAATGCCACCTTGCCCAAGCACCTCAGCCCCCAGCGCCTTGTGCAGTGACAGTCCAGTGCCACGGCCCTGGCATGGCACTTCCATGTTGAGAGAAAGGCCCAGCCTTCCCCACCGCTGCGCCGGCGCACAGCGTAGCCGAGACTTGAAGGTGTCCAGGAGAAACCGCGTGAGCCTGCCCAGCTGATGTGCCCACAGCCACCTGTGTGTGTCCCCTGTGCAGGCGAGGACCCTGGCTCGGTGGCAGAGGTGCTGGCCCAGGGACCTCCCCGACGGCCACTGGAAGTTCTGCCACCCTTATCGTATGGACGGCACATCAGTGGTTTTGAAGCAGAAAATGGCCCTCATCCTCCCAAAGTACAGAAAGGATCTGAGGACCCATGGTGGCAACAGGCTGCCCACATTGCCACACCTGCCAGGCCGGGGTTGGCGTGAGAGGACGCCGAGCACAGTGCCCGCTCTCGGGAAGGGGAGAGGACAGAGAGGGGGCAGCCAGGATGGGGGGCCGAGCCCGAAGGAGGAGAGGCTCTGCAGGGCGTCCGCCCACCTGGCGAAGGCTCCCGAGGCAGGGACCAGGTCTGCCGTCCCTGCCAGCCCCCAGGCCAGCCCGGTGCGGAGAAGCAAGGCGTGTGGAGTGAACCCGCCAAGGGCTGTGTCCTGCATGGTCCTCTTTTCCTGCAGAGGCGTCATGCTGGGGAGAGGGAGGGGATGCGTCTATTAGTCTCCTGTGGCATCGTAACGACTTACTGCTCAGTTGGTGGCTTAAACCCGCAGTCCCCAACCCCGTACCGGTCCGTGGCCTGTTAGGACACAGCCATGCATCACCGCCTGAGCTCTGTACCCCCGATGCACGCCCCAGTCTGTGGATAAATTGTTTCCCATGAAACTGGTCCCGGGTGCCAAAAAGTTGGGGCCCGCTGGCTTAAACAGTGCAGATTTATGGTCTTGCAGTCGGGGAGGTGGGAGTCTGGTGAGGGTCTCCCGGGTTCACGTCGAGGTCTTGGCAAGGCTCGTTCCTTCAGGAAGCTCCGGAGAGAATCCTTTTCCTTGCCCTTCAGCCTCACAGCAGAGGCCGCCTGTGTCCCTTGGCCTGTGGCCCCTTCTTCCGTCCTCAAAGCCAGCGGCGCCGCCTCTCTCTTTCTCTGACCACGAGCGGGAAAGGGCCTCCTCTTTTAGGGGTTCACGTGGTTAGGTTGGGGCCACCTGGATAACCCAGGCTAACCCATTCCAGGTCTTTGACTGAGTCCCACCTGCAAAGGGGTAGCACTGGGACATCTTGGGGCCATTATTCTGCTCAACAAAGGTGGTATCAGGGAATCTGAGGACCTGACCTTCCCCAGAGGACTGGAGAAATGGCACGTTTCCTCCTCCTCTTCCTCTTCCTCCTCCTCCTCCCCCCCACCCCCCCAGGGCTTTCAGTCTAGAATCGTGGACCTACACACGGTCGCACCTGGAAGGGTACAAGGACACTCAGGCCACAGACGCCTCGCCCAGGGTCCTCACGCACATGCCCCTTCCCCACTAGCCTGCGATGTGCCACCCGTGGGGTGGAAGCCTCTTAGCCTGGAGGGAGGGACACCAGCTTGAGGGCGCTGGCCGCGCTGCGCGCCTAGGGCATGGGAGGGCGCATACATGTGTGGAGCAACTTCTGCATGGCAGGTGCCGCTTTATACAGGTGCCCCTCTCATCCCCCCGAGCCCCACGGGATGTGCACGTCAGCTCCCCACCTTGCAGATGAGGAGGGAGGCAGGGGTTTGTCCACAAGAGACACAGAGCCTGCTGCTTCCTACCGAGAGCCAGTAGAGCTGCATGGCTGGTGTGAATGGGACGCCACAGCGGGGCGGTGGGGGTGGCTGTGCTGAGATGTCAGAGCTGCAGAGCTCTGTGGCACAGGCCCGTGTGCTCGTGGACAGGCGGCTGAGAAGCCCCTGCAATCACACCTCTGGTTGTAAAGCTGGGGAAATAGGCTCAGAGAGGTGTGTTGATTTTCCTAAAGACACACGGCAGCTTTTGCCCTGCTCCCTGGGCCCCTCCCCCGTGGGCATGGCTCCCGTGGCAGAGTTGCTGGGTGGTGGATCTGAAGGGTGGTCTGTAAGGGGATGGGGTCTCCATTGTGGGACACTTAGCTGCAGAACCTTTCTGCAATGTGAACTCGCACCCTAGACGGGGGCCAGCATGGTGCACAGTAGGGGGGTTAAAAGCCCTGGATTTGGGCTGGGCATGGTGGCTCTCGCCTGTAATCCTAGCACTCTGGGAGGCCGAGGCGGGAGGATTGCTCAAAGGCAGGAGTTTGAAACCAGCCTGAGCAAGAGTGAGACCCCGTCTCTACTAAAAATAGAAAGAAATTAATTGGCCAACTAAAAATATATAGAAAAAATTAGCTGGGCATGGTGGCGCATGCCTGTAGTCCCAGCTACTTGGGAGGCTGAGGCAGCAGGATCGCTTGAGCCCAGGAGTTTGAGGTTGCTGTGAGCTAGGCTGACGCCACGGTACTCACTCTAGCCTGGGCAACAAAGCGAGACTCTGTCTCAAAAAATAAAAATTAAAAAAGAATAAAAAAATTTAAAAAGCCCTGGGTTTGGAGTGGAGCTGTTCTGGGTTCCAGTCCCAGTGTGACCACCTTGGTGTGACCTTGGGCGTGCTGCTGGCCTCTGAGTGCCGTGTCTGCCCATCTGGGAAGCGGATGAGTAGTGTTGCTGAGGCCCCGGAGGCACCCTGGGAGGCCCTTGCTGGGCAGCCGGTCCTGCCCCAGAGCCCTCCCACCCACGAGCCCCTGCACACGCTCAAGGGCCGGTGGGCCCCTCGGACGCTCCGGCCATGAGGATTAGGGTTATTTTCTCTCACGTGCAGGGTTGGATCATCCTGGATCTGTCTGGACTTGTTCTGGCTCCAACCTTTGCCCGGCACAAGGACAGAGGATTTGGCAACTCAGGCAGGTCCTCTGTCAACCGGGAGCTGCTCTTGGTCACCTCGACCCCATGGGGCAGGATGATGGGCACTAGTATCATTCCCATTTCACAGGTGGGCAGACCGGGGCCCAGGGAGGCCAGTTCACTCGCCTAAGGCCATGCAGCTGGCGAGGGGCATGGCTGAGCCTGGCAATGGCTGGACCCTAAATCCAGGGCTCCATGGGGCCACCTCTTGCCTCCAGGAATGTTGTCTTCCCTGGCACTCGCTTAGCCGATAGCCCTTGACTCTTTCCAGAAGGATGGCAGGCCCTCCTGCCCCATTCCGGGAACAGGCAGGCAGGCTGTTCTTGGGGACAGAAGAGCCGTGGGACAGCCCTTTGGAGGAGGGGGCTTGTGAGGGTGTAGGGGGATCTCAGAGTCTGCCCCAGGGCGGGGCAGCATGGCAGCATGGCAGCTTGCATGTGGGGGTAGGGGGGGTAGGTGTGTGTTGCAAAAGAGGAGTCTGTCCCGGCTAGCAACGTCCCACCAGGGGCTTTTGGGATGTATGTCCCCTTCTCCCCAGCACGGCACGTGTTTTGACCTGTGCAATGGTGACCTGCTCTGAATGCAAAAACAAGGCAGAGAACCCTCCTGGGGCAGCGCCTGAAGCCGGGGTGGCCCTAGGTACAGGGCGGTGGGCGAGGGCACGCAGCTCGAGGCGGAGACCCTGGGCCGGCGTTGCCTCCGAGCTGCCTGCTGCAGCCGCCAGCCCAGCCAGGCCTGGCATGGGAGGAGTTAAGCTGCAGCGGGCACCTTGGCACGTTGCACTGCCCAGAATGTCCGGCTCCCTGCCCCCACTGCTTTTCTTCCTTTTTGCCTTTTTCCTTCTTAATTAATCATACGCTGCTGCCCAATTTAAATATGGAAATGCCCTGGCCGAGGCGATGCAATTATTCCTGAGTGCCTGGCCGGCCGGCCGGGGCTCCCCGGCTGTGGGGAGCATGGTGGCGTCGCCTCCTTTCTGATGTGTGTGAAATTATGTGCACAAAAGGCGCCTCCTTATCTGGGTGTGTGAACTAAATAAATAAATAAGGGCTTTTGTTTGTTTGCCGGCTCCTGCACAGGACTGTTTTGACTAAACCGCGCGTGTTGTCTGCGGCTTTATGGGACTCGGGAGACGGGGGGCAGGGGGAGCCCCCGCAGGCTGGCCGGGGGCTGGGGGGCGGCTGCCGGGCACCTGGGGCCCTCTCCCTCCCCTGGCACCACCCTCACCCCCGCACCCTCCCCCTACACACCCTCGCCGGAAAGTTCGCCCTGCCCGGGCTGGGCTCCCAGGCAGCCTGGCACTGTGCCAGGCTCGCCGCCAAGCTCGGGCGGCAGGGTGGGGCGCGCAGAGCACGGAGGATGGGCCGGGCGCCCTGGGCACCAGCAGGACCCGAGGCCGGGGGCCAGGGGCCCAGAAGGTGAGGGTGCCCCGGGTGGGCGCAGGGTGGGTGCTCGGCGGGCAGCAGGTGGTGCGGCCAGGCCGGGGAGCGGGCCTCTCAGGGGCGGGAGGCCGGTGGAGGAGGCAGGCACAAAGGGGGCAGTGCCAGGCAGCCGTGCAGACGCAGGCATCGCTGCTGCCGGCCCTGCCGCCGCCTCCTGCCGCCCGGCCGGGCCTGGGCTCTGCGGGAGGACTCGGGTGCGTGGGGCCCCGGGCAGGAGCAGCAGACAGGGAGCTGCGGCCACAGGGCCAGCCGCAGCCCAGGAAGGGCCGGAGCAAGGCGGGGCCCAGGGCTGTCAAGGAGAAAAACATCCCAAGGCCTGCAAATTGCTGCTCTCAGCTTTTTCCCCCCTCCTCCTGCTTGGGGAGAAAAAAAAGCAGTGCTTCCTCTGGAGGCGGATGCAAAAGGGATGCAGAATTTTAACCATCTCCTGCACTGGCCGGTCCTTCCCCAGCAGGGTTGGGGCCCAGGCCTGGCATGAGGGCACAGCGGGAAGGGGACCGCCCAAAGCACCAGAAGCTTTTTCTGGGAGATGCGGGAAAACCCTGGCCTTGCTGGCACCCCCAGCAAGAAAGGGGGCCCCGTCCAGAAACGGGGCCCTGCAGCACCCGAGGCAGGGGCGTGGGGACTGCAGGTCAGGGGCGCCTGGTGCCCACGAGGGGCTGCACATCACGGTGCCAGGCGCTGCCCCGGCCCCACGCCTGCTTGCTGCCCCCCCCCTTGGTGTTGAACGTGATGCTCAGGTCCCCGGTGGGGACTCCAGTGCTGTACTAGGAGGGTCCTGGTTCATGCTGACGTGGGCCTCAGCCACTCTGGGATCCTGGCCCTTTCTTGTGACCGCTGTTTGTGTCTTAAAAATAATGTGGAGTGTTTTCTGGCAGCTGGTGGGGGCTTCACACGCTGCACGTGCAAGGCAGGACCCCAGGAATGAATTCGAGGGTGAGCAAGGTGGTCTGGTCACTGCACGCACAGCGGGCAAGGCCCACGGGTGGAGGGGGAGGCTGTGCTCCCGGCCGGGGGAGATGCGGGGGCCCAGGCTCCGGTCGTGGGCGTGAGGGGGGGTCTGGGCCAACCGCCCGCAAGGCGCAGAGCCTAGTGCCTAGACAAAGTGTCTTCATTTTAATTTCTTTTAAAATCAGATGAAAAATGACTATAAAAATAATGAACATATAATAATGAATCCTGGTTACATTGGTCTTTAATCCAACGCAGTTGTAAAATCTAAATCTAATTTTCAATACTTACGGAGGAAGGGGCCCAGGCAAAGTGCTCCGGCCCCTGACAGGCAGGCGGATCTGGCCTGGGCTGGTGCCGTCTGTCCCAGGACAGAGGGTCGGAGTCAGGCTCTGCAGGGCATGTGAGTACCCTGAGAATCTGGCCTTTGCGCAGAGCGGTTGGGATAGGCTGGCCCACCTGCGGTAGAGGGGAGCCAGGGGTCTGTGTGTGTGTGTGCGTGTGCACACGTGTGCACATATATGCCCACACGAGCAGGCATGCTTGTGCACACACGTGTGTTTCACAAAGGGTTCCCTGACACCCGAGTGCATAAATCCCAGTTCTTGAAGTAGTTGGGTGCAAGGCTAGGACAGGGTGTCAGGGTGACTGCTGGGGCCTGGCATTCCTGGCAATGGACGGGGAGCCACCGTGTCCCTAAGAGAACGCAGAAGGGCTTCGAGGTCCACCCATGCCACCCGCCCCCAGACCCCAGCTCTGGCGCAGTGCTGTCTAGAGGAGCCAGGTGAGCCCCAGACACAAGCCACATCTGTAATTTCACATGCTCTGGTAGCCACATTTTTGGAAAGTAAAAAAAAAACAACAGGTGAGATTCAGTTTCATCCTAAAATGCATGGTAATCCAATATAAATACCTAAAATGGTATCATTTTAAGGTGCAGTTTATATGAAATTATTAATGACATATTTTACATTTTTTTCACACTAAGTCTTCAAAATCCCAAGCATATTTTACACACTCAGCTCTCAGTCTGGACTCTCCACATTTCCAGGGTTCAATGGCCACAGGTGACAAGAGGTCATTGGGCAGTGCAGGTGTAGCGGGTCTCTGTGCCCCACCCCCCCGGCCCCGCCCAGAGTTGGAGAGACCGGTTTGCTGCTGCTTTTTCGCTGGTGGCCCTTCTTGGCCAGGGAGCAGGAGCTTCCACGGGTGGGTCGGGCCCCTCGCTGCTCTGAGAGCTGGAAGAATGGATGTTGGGGCTGCAGGTCCCAGAACGAGGGGGCTGCTGGAAAGGGCTCTTCGGCTGCGCTCCCAGACGCCAGGGGACGACACAAAGGCCTGACTTCAGGCTCACAATAGTGGGGCGGTTAGTCACAGTGCCAGGGCAGCGGGCAGGCAGACAGAGCCCCCTGTGTCTGCGCCCGACCGGGCCAGGCCCTGCCGCCCCCGTCTCCCCGGCCTGCTTCCCACCCCACCCTGCCTGTGCGCTTTTGTGTACACCCCTGCCCGCTCCCCGAATTAACCCCCTGCAGCCTGCTGCCTACCTGGCAGCCTGGCGGGGGCTTCCTTGCCAGGCTCTGGTTTCCATCGGCCACCCTGGCCAGAAGCACGCTCCTGCCTTCTAGAAGCCAGACTCGGGCCTGCGTGATTTCATTGGCCTTTCTCGGGGAAACGGGTGTCCGAACAAGCCCGTGCTGGGCAGCATTTGTGCAGCCCGAGGAGGGACTGTCATGTGCGTTAGGGGACCCAGTGTTCTGAGCTCCCCACCCGACTTAAAGATCTCTCCAGCAGTTGAAAATATTCACCGCTCAAGGACTGTGCGTTTCGGGGAAACAATGAGAAGCCAAAACTGCGAAAAATTAAGGAGTGGCCCTGAAGCTGGTGTCTGTAACTGCAGTTTTAAAGTGAACAGACTGATATAAATATTTTAATCCTGTGCGTAGATAGATGGATAAGATAAAATAAATGAGTCATATTCTGGCCCAGTCTGGAGACTCTCTGAAAACAGGACTGATGTTAGCATTTGCCATTTAGGAGTGACAATTAAAATCTCTCCTTCCAGGTTGTGATTCTAGAGCCTCAGAGATAGAGTGAGCTGTTCTTGTGGTGACGTGACGGTTAAATTATTGACACCTGGGGAAGGTGACGTCCCCGGAAACGGCATAGAATGCGGTTCACGGCCTCTCTTTTTAATTTTGAAAATAATCTCTGCAAAGATTCTGCATTTTGGCTTTTCTTCGCTAGATTGAAGTGGCGTGTGTTTTTACTTTAGAAGGCAGGGAGGTTTTGCTGTGCCCGATGTGAGCAGGGAGACGAAATGAGGGTCTTTGGAACAGGCGGGGGTCCACTCACAGCTTGAAAATCCCAACGCGGGACATTTTGCTTGGAGGAAATAAATGTCTGCAGTTTATTCATCTTACCTGTTGATTACATTTTGTAGTTATTTGTTTTATACCGTGATCCTTGTCTATGGCCGAGGCTGTCTTTGGACTATAGAAGGCCTTGCTCGGTCTGGCCCCGGAGATGTCGTTCCGCTGTTAGAATGGCTGGCCGCCGGGATCGGGCGCCGTGGGCTCCTGGGCCGGAACCGTCTGCGTGCCTGCATCGGCCCGGCCCACTCGGCCTTCAGAAAACAAGTAATGGAAGACATGTGCTCAGCTCACATCATTTTGTTCTGATTTATTTTAAACCACTTAAGATGATTTTAGCACAAAGGGTGCTGTATCTTACGTGCATTCTGAGAGCCATTGGATGTTCAAGCTAGAGCACATTTTTTATTTTTTTAAATCCAGATTTAGAAATTGCCTTTCAGAGTAGACAACAGCATGCTAGTTTTCCTTTAAACTCACTTTTTAAGAAGGATACTTAAGATCAAATGCATTGGATTTGGAGACGGCCCATCTCAGCCGTTGTCAAGGGACTGGAGAGGGCCACTTCTCAGGAGTTCCTCTCTGGTGGGCTCGTGCCCCGGAGGTGCTTTCCAGACGTGTGCTGAGTCCTCGTCCTGGGCACATTGTTTTCCTTCCAAGGAGGAGTGTGGTGTGCAGTTCTAATGTCATCGTGTGGAAAAGAGTCCCTGCCTGGCTGAGACAGTAGCACACTCAGCCGGGCCACTTCCCAGCGCGACTCCCAAACTGGACCATGCCCCTTAAGTGATCAGGGGGCCTGTGCAAATACCAGTATTTTAAGGCACACCCAACACAATTTTTGCTAATTGCAGTTCTCTCTGGCTGCAGGTACTATCTCTAGTAATGGGAAAATAAAAGTAAAAAAGACTAAGGACAACAGGAAGCACATCAGAGCCCCAGGGAAAATGGCCCGGAAGCTTCTGTAGGGACGGAGGAGACCCGATCAAGTCCTGGGGCTCTTCATGCCCCCCCACGCCCCCCGCAAGCCTCAGCGCCCCAGATTTAAAACGAGAAGGTGCCCAGCCCAGCCCCCGGTCAGGGTGGTTGCAGGAATATGACAACAGCAGCCAATATTTGCATAGCAAAGCCACCCAGTTTCATTTTCTGTTTGAAAGTTTCTCTAAAGGGCCGAGTGCTATAGACGTGCAAATCACCGCTATGGTCTTAATAACTGTCCTGGCAATACATGATATGATGATTACTGTTTATGTTAAATTTGTAAATATTAATGATTCTTTTGATTCTTAAGCGAATTCTATCTATTTGACTTAAAACAAATGTAATCATATCCGTCATATAGTGCTTTTCTGATCATGAAAGCAACGTATGCTCGCTGTAGAAAATTTGGAAAATACAGAAAAATGCACATAAGGGAAAAATTGTTCATCATTCCTCCCACACAGAGACAGCTCTGGTCACATTTCCCTGTGTTTCCTTCCAGGCTCTTGTCAATTCCTGCAGCATCTTTTTCCAGATGACTCCGGGGGCTTTTCTGCTCTGCCCTCCCTGTCTCCTTCACCCTCCTGTTCCCCGGTGGCAGGTCCCTCTTCTCCTTCAGGGGGGCAGGCACAGGCCCTGGGTGTTCAGGGAGCAGACCTCGGGCTCCGCAGCACCTGGCCTTCTTGCTCGGCTCTCCGGGAGCCCTGCCCGGGCAGGCCAGGCTGCTCGCAGCGCCCCATGGCAAAGCCAGGCCTCGGGCAGGCTCAGGTTGTGGGGAAGCCAGGTACAAAACCCAAGCCCTGGGGGTGAATGCGCTAGGCCTTCCCCGGGCAGGAGAGGGCCGGGAGGTGGGAGGACATGGGCAGAAAACACCAGAACTCTGCAGCGTGAAGGGGAGTGAAAAGCACCCCTGATGCTGGAATTCTCGGCAAAGACAGACACTTGGGCCAAATTAAACAAACCACTTCTTAGACATGCAAAGTTTCCTCTGAACTGTCGACATAATGTTTCCAAGGTGTTGGGCTTTATGGCTCTGACTTGCACCCGCCGAGCGGTTGGGGTTTAGTGCCAAGGGGGCTTGGTAGGCAGAATCCACCAGAACTTCGGTGCAAGGACACAATTCCCAAATCCCCTGTCACAGTCAGGCGTGTGCCTCAGCTGGTCCTGCAAATCTGTCAGGTGAAGGTTCCAAAGAACCAGGCCTCTGGAGGGAAATAAACCGATTTCCATATTGCTCTCTAGAGTAGCTGTGATCCGAAAGGAATTCTAGAATTGCCAAGTTCATTTCTGATAGGACAAATGGCGTCTATGGGGTCTGCCTTAACCCCGTTGGAAGAATGCAGTGGCCTCAACGTCTCAACAACAGATCATTAGAGATTTATTAATAACCTCAGTTGCAGACAAACTTCACAGGCAAGATAATAGGTTGCAGTGTGAGTTACAATAGAGAAATACTAGCAGGAAATGAAATACGGAATGCTAGGGGCCACAGCAGTAAATTCTCATGTAACAAAATAACGGAATATTGTGTTACCTTTAAAATGGTGTTGACAAAGAGTTTGTGATGGCATGAAGGGGTATGGGATACAACATTTTCCTAACAGTAAACAAGTATGTCACTGTATCCTTATGTTCACTGAACAATAGTCTAGAAGGCAATATCATAGAATATTATTTCTGGACAATGGCATATAGGTAAATTTTCCCTTTTCCTTGTATTTTAGACTTAACCCATATTTTTTACTTATTACTTAAATTTATCTACATCCTAAATATATTTCTTTATATGTATTTTTTCATTTATCACCAGCCTCAAGGCAATCTTTCTTTATATTTTATTCTTAAATTGCTTATACTTTAGACTCTTCTGTGTCTTCCTTAAACATATGGTATTTTTATAGTCAGAGAAGAATCATTTTTAAAGACTTGTGAATAGAAATATAGACAAATGGCATATTTTCCTTCAGTCATTGGATAGTTGGCATGTACCAGAAGTATTCGTTAGGCCAACAAATATGTATAGTGAGTAAATATTATTCATTCTTTTATGAAAGATTTATATATTGATAGCTTATTAATCAAAAACTGCATGTGTTCCTCCACCAAACATATATACTTGTACACGATAGCATAAAAATCTCAATTTTAGATTTTATGTGGACTTGAGAAGTGTTTTTGTGCCTTAACAATAGGATCAAGACGGAAAAAAAGAGGGGTTTTCTTGGGTTCTTAGTTGGATGGCAACCCTGCCGTGGTTAGGTGCTGTGCCTGATTTTGAGTTTGTGCTTTCTGCTTCTCCTGCTTGGTTTTTCAGGGCCATTTAAAAGATTCTGCAAGTTCATTACTGGAGAAGTGTATATTACTAGATCCTGGATTCGTAATGTCAGATAAAACTGTGGTCTCTGAGCGGAGATCTTAGTGGTTTATTTATACTCATCCGTTGGCTTCTTTAACAAAAAAGGAAAGAAAACAATTATTTCCTCCGGCTGGTGCTTCCCTCAGAATACTCCTCTGCACCCTCCATCACTTGTGGTAAGGCAAGAGGCTGGGGTTTTCTTTTTTTAACCCTAATGCTGCAGGATTTTGTGATATGGGAGGAAAAAAATCTGTCCATATTTCCAGTTAAAATGTCTTAGCTTTCAGGCAGGAGCGACTGGCTTCCCTGTAAAACGAAATCCCAGGACCTGCCGCCCTGGGAAGGGGCCGGGGAGAGAACACGACGTCCTGTCGGCTTGAGAGAGACCCCAGCTCGGGCAGCCCGCCGGGACGGGACGGGACCAGACGGGACGCGTGGGGACTCCCCGGGCGCGCAGAGCCCCCTCTCCGGACCGGAGCCGCCGCCGCCTGAGGCTGAGGCCTGAGCCCTCAGTTTCCCCAACAGAGCGGGGAGGTGGGTGCTGCCTTTCGCGCGGGGCAGAGGCGAGGCCGGGGCGCCCGGGCAGCGGGACCCCGGCGGGAGGGGACCCCGGCACAAAGGGGACCCCGGCACGAGGGGCCCGGCGGGCAGGCGGGGTCTGCACGGCCTGGACCGCCGAGGCCAGGCGCGCCCGGCCGGGAGGTCCCGCAGCCCCAGCCGCCGCCGCCCGCCCGGGGCCTCCGGGGCGCGACCCTCTAATCCGCTTTAGTCAATATACTGTGAGCTTTGCTCGCGCTAAGTAAACAGGGCGGCGAACAAAGCGGCGGCCGCGGGCCCGCGACTCCTGACCCTGGGGTCGCGCCCTTTGTTCGCCCTCCGCGGGGCAGCCCCGCCGCCCGCCGCGGCTAATTGGGGCGCGTGCCGGGGCTCGACCTCCGACCTCGCACCCGGACGGCGGGAGCGCTAAGCCCTGCGCGGGGACGCAGCCCGCCCCGGCCCGGCCCGGCCCCGCGCACGGTTCGCATCCTGGACCCTCGACACGCGCCGCAGACCCGACTTCCCGCCGCGCGCGGACCCGCGGACCCCACCCTGGGCCGGCCCGTGCGGGCCTGTGCCGGGAGCCCCGCTCCGGCTCCGTCCGGCCGTCGGGAGCTGGCTGGAGAGACTAGCCCGGCCTCCCGCCCCAGGGGCCTGGTGCTCCCAGGCCCAGGGTCCCCAAGCAGCCCCTGCGGCCACGTGCGTGCCTGTCACCTGGGGCGCCCGCAGCCCAAGGCGACAGGGATTCTGCTCCTGGAGTCGCGGGTGGGGAGCGGCCTCTGCGGGGCCTGTAAGGACCTCAGACGGCGTGATGCGGTGAGGTGGAGACGGTGACTGTCCCTTGCTCTTCTTTTTCTGCTGTTTATTCCTGCTTGGAAGCCTGTGGGATGGGAAAGAAAAGATGCCCCACGAGTGCAAAATTCAGACTCGCCTAGAGAGGGAAAGGGGAGCCCTTCAGGCCCTCCACACGGGCTCCCTCTGCTCCACGGGCCTTTTCTCCCCCAGACCCCAACCTCTCTCGCACCTGGGGCAGGTCCCCTGAGACCAAGTGCTGAGGTCAGGCATGGATGCGGTGGACGCTAGATTCAGGCCTTGGCCACTCCGTGTCTTCCCGTGGTCTTTGTTTCTCCCTCAAACGTCGGCCAAGGCTGTAATTTCTATCCCAAGAAGCTTTTGAGACTTAAGCTCCTTGTAATTTTTAAAAAGGTTTTCGTCTGTTTTTTAAAAGGTACTTTTTCTTGTAATTAGGTGCAAAAAGGAAGCAAGAGAACGGAGTCCGGGAAGGCTCTGCCTTTGAAGACGGGCTGAGCGGCTTCTGGTCCTCGGCCCGTGGGCAAGGCCCCCGGCCCAGCGCTCAGTTAGTTCGTAGTTTTGTTCACCAGCTGTGAATATTTTTAGGCTTTGCCAAGACGCCTTTTTAAAATGCCGAGTTTGTTTCTGAGCTTGCCGTCTGTGGGGTGGGCCGTTCTAACGTGGAACCCGGCCTTGGGGAGCCTCGGTGCCCTGGGGTGGCCGGGTGGTGAGGGCGGGAGGTGGGCGGGGGTCCTGCGGGTGCCGTGGCAGGTGCGTCGGCAACTTCCTGGGTGTGCAGTGCAGGTCTCTGCCTGGATGTGCAGACGTGCCCAGCCACGTAACCCGGTTCCCCACTTTCCCTGACCCTTCCTCATTTCTGTCCCTCTCACCGCCGCAGCGTCTCCCTAGCCTGTCTCCTTTCTGAGGAGCAATACTTTGATCCGATCCGCATACATTGGCCTCTTGGAATGCTGATTCCAATGTGGCCTGGGGGCCCGGCCACACTGCCAGGAGAGACCTGCCACAGGGAGCAGGTCATGAGCGGTGCTTGCTGGAGGGAGGCCTTGGGGTTCTCCCAGGCTCCTCATCACCTGCTCGAAACATCACCGTGGGCGTCGAGAGACCATGGGCAGCTGCCTGCCAGGTTCGCAGGGGCCCTAAGCAGGGGCGAGGTGCACGGGGGCCTTGGCACCCCCTGGCTGCCAGGGAAGCTCTGGTTGCAGGGTGCTGGCCGCCCTGCAGACAAGGGCAGTGGGCAGAGCGGATTGTGACCCTCCAGCTCAGGCAGAGCGGCTTCGTTTCTGGGACTCTGGCAGGCCCAGCCGGTCACTTGTGCCTGTGACTTTACGCCCAAGGTCTATCCGTCCCAGTCCAGTTTTGAGGGGGTGGTCAGCATGCACCCAGCAGCAAAGAGTGGGGAGGGCTCAGAGGACTGAAACAGGCCGTGGGGCACAGGGCGGGGGCGGGTGCCAAAGCTGGACCAGTTCAGGGCAGTTCCGGGACCCAGATTTCGATGGGGCTCTGTTTTTCCTGGAAGCTGTTCTTACCTATAAAATAAGCCTGTGTGTGTATGAGTGTGACGAGGTGGACGGTGATGTTTTCCTTAAAAAAAAAAAAAAATCAAAAATAACAAAGTGCATGCCTGTACATCATGGTGGGGTCCCAAGTCTGTGCAGAATCAGGCCGTTTCACTACTCTACCCACCCAGGCCTCAGTTTCCCCAGTCTTTAAAGGGGCATGACAGTTCTTGTTCTGTCTGCTGCACAGGCTGTGAGGAGCGTGTGTGTCGAGGCGAGACCACGAGGTGTAAATTAGGAGGTGCTCGCTCTACACTTGAGAGGTGCTGCCCTCATTACCAGGGAAAGCCCCCTAGGACGAGGCCATTGCTTTATGACTAAAATGGTTAGCAACTGACATGGCACTTGCTAAGTGACGGGATGTCTTTGTGCACCTGAACTGTCCGGAAGCCCTCTGCGTCGGCTGTCCCGAGTGTGGGTTGAGCACATGAGAAATGAGGTCAGGATAGAGAGCATCCTGTTCCCTTGCAGCCTTCGGACATGATGAGGGCCCCCAATTTAGGGGATTGGAGCCAGTGGCTTGGAGACGGTCCCGGGGCACACACCCGAGCGCCCTCAGTGTTGGTCCCAGGGTCCGAGCCTTCACTGCCCTGCCTGCCCTGCATTGGGTAAACTTCTGCAGGGCCCAAACCCCAGCCCCGTCTGCGTGCTCCTGGGCAGAGAGCACCCCCGGCTCAGCTCCCTGGCCCCTTGCCTGTCTCCCCAGGACTGCCTTTGCTGCGTTTGTCCCAGTGACGATGAGTGAGGCCAGCCGGGCTTGCCGCTCGCTCACAAAACCATTTTCTACTGCAGGGAGAAGAGCTGCTCCCCACGTGAGACCTGTCCGTGTTCTCCGCGGCAGGTTGTGTTTTCGCTGGCTTCGAGTGTTTGCATGCGTGTCTGAGAAAGGGGGTAACCCAAGGAGGCTGCACGTGGGCCTGCCCCTGCCCCTGGGCAGGACTTTCCACCGGGACCCCAAGTTGGCCCCCAGGCCCAAGAGCAACACAACTTTTACTGCCACACACACATACGTGTCCGCGCACATGTACGCTCACATACATAGGCACACACCCACACACATCCTAGGATATTATCCTGGTGGAGCTAACATTTAATGTTCTAAGTATTAAAGTTGGAGGCACCAACAGGCTGTCTTAAAAGGCTCATTCAGCCCGTCTGCCTTGGAGCTATTTTATTTATAATTCTTCTTGTCACGTCAAAGAACTCTGTGTTTCTTGCAGACTGTGTTTGGGTGGTTGAGTGTTTGGTTTTTGGCTACAGCCAGTTAATTTTTCCGAATCTGTAAGTCCAGGTGTGTGTTGACAAGTATTTTCCCAGCTCAAGAACTTTCCCAGTGAGGCTTGGAGTCCTCCTATAAATTTCCAGCGTTCCACGGGGGACAGACTTCCAATTCCGGAGGGGTCGAGAGAGAGAGGGAAGGCGTGGGCAGTGCCTGCGTCCGCTGCCTCCTCTCAGATGGACTCAACCGGGCAAGGCGCACTTGGGAAGCAGAATATTGCAGCATATTTAGAATATAGGGTTGAAAAATTAGTTGATGGATAAGGTATTAGCAAAGGCACAAACCGCTGATGATAATTAAAAATCCCTGTTCCTCGGCATCCTTGAAAACCAGGCACGGGAGCCAAAATACCTGTCCACATCTCTAGTCATTTTCAAATACCTCTTAAAAATATACATTCATCATGTAAAAATGACATAGATTTTGATTTCCAGGTTAGTGGCTCTCCTTGTCTGATGGCTTACATTACCACTTTGTGTGTGTGTGTGTGTGGTTAAAATAAATGAACTTCATGTTCTTTTAAAATTAGGAATCACACCAAAATTTGCTCCAGAAAATAGCAAAAGCATAGGTTTTCTTCTTTAGTATTTTTCTTTTGCAGCAATTAAATAGTGTCTTGCAGTGATACATTTAGTTCAAACATTTCTCCACTTTTTGTAGAAAGGGCATAGATGAAAAATCTGACCTTAACCTTGAAGTTAATCAGATCTAAAAACTAGGATACTTAGACATAGTCAGGAAAATGAAACTATCTTTATATGTAAAGTAAATTACTCACCTATGTTGTGTGAGATCATATTTGATTTAAAAACATAAATAAAATGGAAGTATTTCAATAAATAAGACCAGTGTGGTCAAATTTCAAACCACTTGTAACTGACAACAACCCCCCCCCAGTCCCACATTCAACATGAATTCTTTGTGCTGGCAGCTTCATTTTGTTGCAATCACTTTAAAGGAGTAATCTGTGAAGTCTTCATTTTAATAAAAAGTTATTGCAGTCTCTTGGCAATTTAGCAATGAACAGTTTGAGGTCCAAATCAGTTTTTTTCTCCTCTCTTGTTTTTTCTTTATTCTAAAGGGCTTACAATTTACCCCATCTACTGAAGACCTGTACAATAAAATGCTATGAAAAAGGGACAGTACAGGCTAAATTAAAAACAAAAATTACCTTTCATAAGATTTCATCTTAGAAATTATAGAATTGAGTGACTAAAATCAATTCAGTGCCCACTTATCTTTGAAAGGTAATTTTTATTTTTCAAAAATTTAGTTTGTACTGTGCCTTTTTTATTCCTCATTTAAAGCCAAGAATCTAGCTTTGGCATTTGATATGTGCATATATAATCTGAGATATTGGCCTATCATCCTTAATTCATATTTTTCTGATTTGTTTTATTACTATTTTGAATTAGAAAATATTAATTATAATTCCTCACCTATAAGGGCACATTTTTTCATACCAATATGTATATATTATATACCATATATTCATGTTCATATATTAATATTATTGAACATACATTTATCATAGACTTCTAGCTGTTTTATGCTCCCCTTTTAATTGAAAAATAATAACCCTTTAAAAATGCTTTTAGAGTTTGTTAGAATTCTTTGGAGATACATACGCAGGTAACAAAGACATCCTGAAAAGTGAATGTGTGGACTTCCCAAGTGCGTAGGAGATGATAACAGATGCTCACGGAAGGTTTCCACGCAGACCCCAGGCGTGACCGCATGGATATACAGCTAGCACCAGCAGCCACAGAGAGCACGGGGCATGCTGTTCATCACCATCAGCTGCAAGCACACTTTCAAATTTTTTCTGCTTTTGAAAAAAAAAAAAAAAAGAAAGATATAAAAATGGTATCTGCGTGCTGGGTTTTTGTTTTAGTTTTTGTTTGGGGACAGTGCACTAGTGCAATGTCCAGTGTTTACTTCCGTCCTCAAACGTGCGTGTCCCACAGCCAGAGTTTCGTTTTTGTTGCTAGCAAACCAAGGCTAAGTTCGACATAAAACCCAGTGAAAGAAAGCAACAGATTTTAGCTTCATTGTATCTGGAAGGAAAGAACCCTCTCTGTGGCTGCTTGCTCACATTTGCTCACCCAGCCCAACACCCTGTGGACTCTGAATTATCTTTTGTTGTTTTATTTTTATGAAAAGTATAAAGATATATATATATATACATGTTTACCCAAGGTAACATATATAGATAATATACACGGTAACAGATAAAAGCTAATAGGCTTTGTGCATAAATAATTGGGAGTGGCAATGAACCCACCATAAAGTGGTACAAGTTATTACAAAATAGGCGTATCAAAATGGAGTCTCAAACTTGCAAACCACTTTGAGACAAAGGCAAAAGAAAAAAAAAAAATCATAAGCCTGGTTTGCCTTTATACAGAGTCCCCAAAGCTGCTAAGCAGCTCCTCAAAAGGCACATTGTCTGGGACGATCGAAGTGGCATTTTAACCGGGAGCCACCGCAAACTTGCAATCTCAAGTTCATGGGTCTGCTGAAAAACATCATTATTCTTGGATGTGCAAGTTGAATGTTCAACACCCAAGTGAAAAATGTACTTTTTCACTCACATCTGTCCTACTTGCTTTAATTACATTAAATGCATCTGCTTACGAAGTCCTTGTAAGGCTTTGGATATTGAAAATTTTAAACTATCGAAGGTCGATATGTGGAGAAAAGGGAAACTAAACTGAAGCTCCCACACAGCCCTCCGAGACTGGACCGTGGGCCAGAGGCTGGCGGAGAAAGCAATGCAACAGGAAGTTGCCGGCTGCATTTCCATTAGGCAGATCTGGGGAGAAATCAGGAGAAAATAGCTGTATAAGGCTGACACTGTAAACATCCCAGCACACCAACAGCCTTACCAGGATTTATTTTCGAACATCTGACCTCAGGCATGGTTGTGGCCCACAGGCAAAAAGCAAGTTTTTCTTCCAGGGAACTTGTTCATGGCAGTGCTCATCAACAATGTAAATTTTCTAGGTATCCTTGTTGATAATTTGAACTCACTTTAAAAAAAAAATATCATTTACTTTGTATAACATAAAATGATAGCAAATAGGCAAAAACAAAAAAATCCAACCTGAATGATACCCCATGGAATTATCTGAGTGCTATTATTTTCCCTGAAAAAAAGCAGAATTTGATTTATGAATTTACAACCAAACTATATGTCAATCCTTGCCAAGTACAGAGGGAATTTTTTTAAAAAGAGTATGTGTTCTTGAACATTGTTCTGACTTACCCAGTTTCTTCTCTTACCAAATAAAAGTTGGAAGCGGGGAGGGAAAGCATTAAATTAACTTACGACGGTGTGAGAACAAGAAAAAAAAATCAGCTAATAAAAAGAAGGTTATGGTATGATTATACAATACAAGCTGGTATGATTATACAATGACTTCAGGTGAAAATTACAAAGCTAATATCCTGGCATTTAGTCACTGCGTTTAGTAATGATACAGTTGTCAAATTTGTATTTGTGCCAATGGAACAAAAGTTGTAATGGCATAATAGAAGATAATCTCTTTTTCTTTGTGGCTTTTTAAATTCAGTGTTCTAATCCACCCATTTAATCACAAAACATATATCAAATTAGTTATAATATTTATAGTGTTTAGGAAAGTGATTATAAATAGATTATAGTGTGGTTGTTGGATGCGGTCTTTTTTTTTTTTTTCTTTTTCTTTTTTTTTCTTGAATGTATCTTAAAGGTATGCAGCATTTCTAGAGTTTGCGCTTGCTTTTTTTTTTTTTTTCTTTTTCTTTTTTTTTCTTGAATGTATCTTAAAGGTATGCAGCATTTCTAGAGTTTGCGCTTGAGAACGGTTTTATGTGAGGATAGCAACCACATACATATTTATGTTCGGGATCTCCATTTGGTTGTTACCGAGCTAGCTCATGATTTTAGAAAAACAAAATTCGGCATTAAAAGGGCCTGGTGCTTAGGATGCTTAAATCTCTACACTCAGCCCAGTCTCTAAAGCAGTTTTGTTCTTCTGGAGCCGCTAAACCACAAAATATCTTTAATATGTTTTTTAAAGTAATTGAACCATACAGTCAAGATGGGGTAGAAGGGGGCTTTAGAACGGCAGTTAGTAGCTGAGTTCTTCCTTGCTGTGGCCAGGGTGGGGCGGGTTGATGGACGGATCTGTGGGACTTTTGGGGACTGCCCGGCACATACTCATCTTGTGGGAATGTGTTCTCTTTACCCCAAACTTCCTAGTCTGGGTTGCAAATTTTAATAGTGGAGAGAATTATAAAGGACCGTGCTAGACAAGATTGTTTTCCCAGCCATATTGCTAGGAAGTGGGCACGGCATTCCTGAGGCCCGGGATGCCGAGAAAGCAGCCATGCCCATGCCAGAGGGAGAACAGAGTTCCTGGGCTTCCAGCTTTGCACCCACGTAGGGCCCTTGAGGCTGGGGGGGGCCCCGGGGGACAGTGGCCACACTCAGGAAAAGAATGAAACCCACCTAACTGCAATGTCACTGTGAGTTGCAGGCAGCTGTGGAAAGTGAAAGTTGGTCAGGATTCCAATAAAGAGATTAGCTGGAAAACATTTTTCTACTCCATTTTCTAAAACTGAGTTTTCTAATAGGAAGAAAAAAGAAAGCCATTGCTAGAAAGAAGAGGCTATAGTAAGATTCCAATACCCTCTCACCCCCAAATTTGGGAAGGTTTTCATAACATATCCTGGGTTTTTCCCTCCCTTCCCCCAAATTGCGTATGTCATGGGTCTCGGCAGTGATGTGTGCAGGGGTGTCCAGCACAATTCAGAGTGGGGTCTAGGGAGCCTTGGCGGGTTGGTCAGTGGGCAGCCCAGGCCCTGGCAGAGCTGCCCTGGCCCAGCCTTGCCCAGGGCGGCCAGTTCCCCCTCCCTGGGCAGCCCAATCCAGTGCGAAATGGAGTTTCCTGGAAGCAGGGCGCACGAGGAACTTTTGAATTTACCAATGGCATAAAAAGTATATATATTTTTATGACAACGGGCAAGTTTCAATTGGTTGGCAGAAATGGCGAGATGTGACGTCAAGGGACACTGGTTAGAATGCCAAGGCCGGCAGCAGGGGTGGGGGGGTGGAGAGAGACAGGCACCGAGAGACATTGGGATGGGACCCAGGAGGCCTTGTTTTCTCTCCGGCCCTGGCCGTCCACGGGCTGTCGCAGGGTTCTGGGGACAGTCGGGTCCATGTGGCTTTCGGCCAGGGCACGCTCGGGCAGGGGGAAGGGGTCTGAGAATAGTGCCCCTGTGCCCGCGTGCGTCCCTGGGAGCTGGAGGCCCAGGCTGGCCCCTCTGCGGTTTGGAAACCACTCAGGCGCCCCTGCGGAGCCGGCGGGAAAAGGCGCTGCGGCCTCCTTGGCATTCTAACCAATGTCCGGACCCGGAGCCCAGCCGGTCCCAACCGGCGGGAGAGGCCCGGGAAGGAGCCGTGTGGCCCAGGGCCAGCAGCGTCGCCATCGGCTCCGAGGGAGCAAAGCTGCGGCCTTGAACTTCTCCCCGCAGCTCCCGCGCCCTGAGTCGGGGAAGCAGGAAGTTGTTTCCACGGGGAAGGAAGAGAGCGAGCTCAGCTCGGAGCTGGGCAGCGGCTCCGGGCACCGTGCCCCAGCCCATCCCACGCCTCCGCGGGCACCGTGAGCGCCCCCCTACTCCGTCAGACACTTGCGCGCCCCCCTTCCATCTCCCCGCACTGTGCGCTACCCCCACGCGACTCGACAGACCCCGCGTGCCGGGCCCTGCCCCCCACCCCACTGGGCGTCGCGCCCCTAGCTCCGTCGGCCGCGGGTGTCCAGGGAGCCCCGCGGGGTCGCCCTTGCGAGCGCTCAGCCCCGAGAGAAGCCCGCTGCCACCGTCGGCCCGAGCGCTGTCCCGGGGCCGCGTCTAGAGCTCCGCGGCGCACACTGGCACCCGCGGGACCGAGCCCGGCGACCCTGGCCGCTGTCTGTGGCGCGCCCGGGCTGCAGGCGAGAGGCTGCGGGCAGGCCAGGGACCGTCGGTCTGGCTGGGGTCCCCGAGCCGGGCCCGGGCGTGCGCGCGCCCCGCTGCCCGCAATCATGGCAGCCGGAGCCTAGGAGCGCAGTCGCCGAGCGCGCTCCAGCAGCCGCCTCGGTGCCAAGGCGGCGGGAACGGGCCGGGGGCTCGCGCCCGGCAGCTTCCCACAGTCGCTTGGCCCCGAGGCGCGAAGCGGAGGGCCGATGGCTCCTCGCGGCGCGGTGCCCCTGTCCGGTGAGGGCGGGCGGGCGGGCCGCGGGGCGGGGCGCGCTGGTGGGGAGCGCCGGGCGGGCGTGCCCGCGGGACGCGCACGCGGGGCTGCGGGGCGAGGCGCGGGCCTGGGCGGCGAATCCGCTGCTCGCGCCGCCTGCCCCGCCCGCGCGCGCCGTCCCGGGTGGGGGGTGCCCAGGAGGGGCGGCGCCCGGTCCTCACCCGCAGCGGGCACGGCGGGGGCCGTGGGCGGCCTCCTTGGTATTCCGGGCGCGGCCGCAGCCCTGACCTCCCCGCGGAACAGGGGTGCCCGGGCGTGCGGGCACAGCCGCCACCCTCGGGCGGTCTCTCCGGGCTGCGGGGCCCGCGGGCTCCTCGCTTCTCCCGTCCCCTCCTCCCTGGGTCCCCCGTACCCCCTCCCCCGCTCCGATCCGGCGGCGAAGGGGTGGGCAGGGAAACGCGCTCTCTGGGACAGGTGCCAACTCCGAGACAAAAGACATAAAATAGGCGGCAACGGGGGAAGCGCGGCCGGCGCGCTCGGGCGGGGACGGCGGCGCCGCGGGGGCCGCATCCTCGGTGCCGACCCGGGAAAGTTTGGGAAGTCGCCGCGGCGGCTTCGCAGTGGCGGGGGACGCGCGGCCCGGGTCGCCCTCCGCGCCGTGCTCGCCCTCTGCGCCGCTGCTGAATAATTCATGGCGCGGCCGCCGGCCATTAGCATGCACCGGGCGCGCGGCGCGTCTGTGCCAAGCCGCCGCCGCATTCGGCGCCCGGGCAGCGCCAGACGAGCGGCGGCCGGGCTCACGCTGTCCCCGCGCCTGCCCGCCCGGCGGCGCCCATTGTGCTCCGGGCCCGCGCCGCCGGGCTGTCCCCAAGCCCGCCGCCCGCCCGACGGCCGGGCTCTGCAAGTTCGGGCCCGCGTCGCCCGCCCGCCCGGCGGCCCCGGAATGCAAGTGAACTTGGAGAAAGTCGCGGGGCGCGCCGGCCGGCCCTCCGCTGCAGGGCGTAGGCGCCCCGGGCCAGCGCGCTTTCGTTTTCGTCTGGGACAAAGGTCCCTCACCGCTCTGGTCGCGGACGCAGTGACCGGGTCCCGCGGGCCACTCTTCACCGCAGGCCGGCGGTCAAACACAGTGAAGCCGGAGCCCGAAGGAGAGCCGCAGCGCGCCTCGGGGCCGAGGAAGTGGGCCCTGGGCCGTGCGCTTCGCCGGTGTCCGCCCGGAGCCGTCCCACCTCGCCAAGAGTTGCGGGAGCCGGTACCGCTCTGCTCTCCGCCGCTTCGACGCGGGAAGCAGGGAAGCGTTTGGAACCCAGGACTCAGAGCCACGGCCGCGGGCCTGTGCAGCGCGGCCGCGTTAGCGCAGCGCCGGCCGAGGTCAGGCGCGGTCCCCGGGAGGGCAAGGCTGTTGACCTGTGCGCCCCAGGTCAGGATCGAGTTCAAGGCGACTCCTGAGGACGGTGAGTGCATTTCCCACTTTCACTACTTAGTATTTAAATATTAATGGAGGGACGTCCAAGAGGGGCTCACCGTTAGGGCAGGCCTTCCGCAGACTGGGGGAACCCACGTTGCTTTTGAACCCGAAAGCCTCACCAGCTTGCAAGAACTCCGCGGTCTTCACTCATCTGCATCTTGGAATTTGTGAAATGCAGCCCCCACTCTCAGGTGTGCAGGTTATTTGCCAGGGAGGATTTTGTTGAACACATAAAATAAGTGTTAAACACAATGGAAAGAGAAAACATCTGTTTTTCGGTGAGATCTGTTTGGGAAGGTTATCTGGAAACTGCAACAGTTTCTTGGAAAATTGAATATTTTCATTTACTTCCTAAACCCACACTACTTCTTAGTGTTTTTTGTTTTTTTTTTTTTCTGCTGGTCAGACACTTGGGGAGAGCTGATTTAGTCCTGGGGGGACCTTGGCCCAGCGTTGGTGGCATTTGGACCAGTTGAGTGAAAGGCCCTTGTGTGGAAGCTGCTGTTTATAGTGGCATAAAATGAAAAACAACTCATAACTTTTCATAATAAATGCCTCTTTATAGGTGGCTCACACACAGGCTCGGCCATGGCCCTGGGGAGTTTGCGGGGAGCGAGAAGGGGATGAAGGAATGCCTGTTGGCCGTAATTACAAGGTTTTAATGTAACACTGAAATTAATTTCTCCAAAGTTGGATTTCTAAAGCCAAGGCAGGCTAGCAGTAGCTTCACTTTATTTTAGTTTTTGATTCTAGCTATTTGGGATTTTTTTTTTTTTTATGTGTGTTGTACGTACGTGTCCCTTTCCTGGGTTAAAATGAAACCGGTAGTTGCAGGAGACTCAGCCTGCTTTTTAATTGTGCTACAGGTGTGATTTCCCCTCTGCTCTTCCCCCCCGCTTGCTGATGTGGTTTGGATAACCTTGCTGGGTGCTTTTGCCACAAAATAATGGGGCGAAGGGGCTGGTTTCTGTAACACCCCAGAGTCGTGAGCTGGCACTGGGAGGCTGTGTTTCCGGGAACGCGGACTGA